TGGAGGCCCTGCGGAGGGCCCACGAGGCCGCGCTCCGACTGCTCCTGTGCGGGCCCTGGGCCTCGGGCGCTGCCTCCCACCCGAAGCCCCGTGCCTCGGAGGTGCTGACGCGGCACCTGCTGCAGCGGCGCCTGCCGTACTGGACCTCCTTCTGCGTGCCCTACAGCGCCGTCCACAACGACCAGTTCGGCCTCTCGCACTTCAACTGGCCCGTGCAGGGCGCCAACTACCATGTTCTGCGCACCGGCTGCTTCCCCTTCATCAAATACCACTGCTCCAAGGCCCCCTGGCAGGATCTGGCCCGGCAGGACCGGTTCTTCACGGCGCTCAAGATCGTCAACCTCGGTGAGTGGCCCGGGCCGGTGAAGCATGTCTCACTGATGGCCCCAGTTTTCTAAGCACGCTGACAAAACGTTTTCGCTTGAAGGTCAAGACCCCGGCCCGTGGTCAGACCACGTGGCTCCCAGCGCAGGCTGGCCTCGGTGCTCGGGCTACACACGCTTCGCCCCTTGCTGTCGGATTTCCCAGACACTGCCACGCTGCACCCTTCTAACACTGGCCTTGGCTCTGATCTTTTGTATTCACCACACAGTAGGTGCTTATCAAAGCCAAGTTGTTGCTACTGAATTGTCTCCCCACACCTCCATCCTCACCCGCCTCCCCGCCCCCCGCCCAGGAAAGTGGGATCTACCCACAGGCCTATACTGCATTACCCCTGTGGAGGGAGCATTACATCCTCACTTCTTGCGGCCCTGAACTGGGAGGACCCTACATTGGGCAGTCAGGAGGGCGAAAGCCGAAAGTGGCTCTGAAGTTAAAAAATGCGTTATTGCAGGACAAGATTCTTTCTCATAAACATCTCTTTGTGTGTACTTTCCTATTCTAAAAGTTCGTTTTCTTTATATGAAATCCCAGCAAGTTCCTTTTACTAAAAGCACTAAAGATTTTCACCAGTCATATTAGCTTCCTCAGGTGCTAAGACTAAAAGATACTTAAAAGACTGCCTCTTTAATATTTGTAGGTTTTCATGGAAATATTCTAATTCTGAGAGTATTTACTCTTGCTGGATGTTTATTTTCTTTTGGTTAATGACAAAAGAGGGATGAACATTGACATGGGTGTATCTTTTATATATAGGTCATTAAAAAAAAAAAGGCCTCAAGATGTTTTTAACCTGTTAATAGCTGGTATCAAATTAATCCGGATTTCAGTAATTCAAAATCTAAACGTGGGAACTGAACCATGTTAACCAAACAGTTAAGACCAGAGTTAAAGCTAAAGCAGCTGTACTAGTGTTATATAGTCTGATAGCTCATTAAATTTAAATATGGTATGTATATTTTTGCTTGTAATAACTCACATATGTCAGTCATGGGGCTTTCGAGCCATTGCTCCACTGAGACTGTCCTGGGTTCAGTCCAATAAGGGGAAGATCATTTAGCAATGTGTAATCCTTTAAAAGAAAGTCTTATTGTTTGGCTGATGGACTATATAGAGCAGTGGTCCCCAACCTTTTGGCACCAGGGACGGGTGCTCCTATGAGAATCTAATGCCTAATGATGTGAAGTGGAGCTGAGGCATTGATGCTAGCGCTGGAGAGCGACTGCAAATACAGATGAAGCTCTGCTTGTTCACCTACTGCTGTGTGGCCAGGTTCCTAACAGGCCACAGACAGGTACTGGTCCAGGGCTTGAGGGTTGGGGACCTCTGATATAGAGCATGCCCACCAATTTTGAGGTTGATACAAAGTTGAGAGGGTGAGATGACTTAGAAAATTCAATTCAAAATTATTTGGAAAGACTGGAGTGATGACTAGATTCAAGAAGAATAAGTTTTTTTAAAAGTTTATTTTAACATTTTTCCAAATCAGGAAAAAAAAAATCATTCTTCCCAAATGTAAAGAGTAATAGGTTAGGAAAAGTATAACCAGACAAACTATAACATGAGTCAAATGCATTCTTTAAAAAAGTTTTCACCATTTGAAACCTAATACTTTGGGAACACCTTGATGGTTGGGGGCTTCTCTTTTAAATAGAAATCTAAAGTAGGATCCCAGAACGTTCTCACAAAGAAAAGTTAAACCTTTTGATGAAAGAAACAACAGTTGTTTTTTATGCGGAAGAGAAGGTGAAGAGTGATTGGTTTTTGTGGTCTTTTAGAAATTCTAAAAATCCTGCTTAGATGGAACCAAGAGTTTTAAGTCAAACAAAACGGAAAACTTCCTGCTTATGCATGCTTTAATATAACTTAGCCTATACTGATAAAGGGAATTTATTTTTGGACGTATTGAAAAGTAGTGTATTCACCAGTTTGGTAATGTTTACTTCGTATTTTTGTCTGAAGGTAGAGAATGTAAATTAGATAATAGGATTATTTCCTATTCCGTGATGTACAATTGCCCTTCTGGATCCTGAAGTACATGTTCCATTAATAAAAATATTCGTCTTCTTTCCTTCCAAATTAGAAATGATCAGAATAATTCATTTTTCCATTTTGTAAATAATAAAAATTTCTCTCACCCATTTGTTCTTTCTCCTCTGCCTTTCCTTCAGTGGAAGCTGACATTTTACTGACGGTTTATCAGTCTGAGAATCCTGCTGGGAAGTAGATTGAGATTTAAGAAAAGCAACTCACCATAGAATGAATGAGTAATCGGAGACTTGCTACAAAGTTCTATTTTTTTTTTTTTTTAAGTACTTAATTTGACAGTGGTTTACCTACTGTTCAGCTGACTGGCTCAAACTATGACTCAAAATGAATTAATATTCAAAGAAGCTGACTTTCATTTTCATTTTGATGTTATGATATGTTTCAGTCTGGAAAAAATTTAATTTTTCATGGAATCTTATAGACTTTAAAGCATATGTGCAATAAATAAAATTATGTTTTTTAAAAATGTGTAAATTATATAAGTGGCAAGTCCCATATATTGTATTAGCCTGACTCCATTAAAGTGACTGCAGAAGAAAAGAATAGACTTTCTGATGCCTATATCCCAACTCCATCCCCTATCAAACAGCATTACTGGTAATAGTTCCTAGTTGTTTCTTAATAAGAGATAATATAGTTATTAAGGTAGTAATCTTTGATCAGTCCTCCGTTTTAGCTGAAAAAATATTGACCATTTGTTTGATTTAAAAAGTATCAATATTTAACTGAAAATTGATAAATAGTGTAAAGCAAACAAAATTTTTATTGTCACCAGCTATTCCTTAAATTTGTTTTAGAATTGGTTTAAATGGCATATTTGGTATACGTTACTCTCAGTATATTTAGAAAATTAATAATGGTTTCTAGAGCCTGTTTTCCTCACTCCACTGATTTTCAGCTTTTGAAGCTGTGATATCATATTTTAAATTTATTTTTTATTTCAACAGTTCCCTCTACTCTTCACTCACTTCTACCTTTCCTGTTCTTGTCCACTCCTTCACCCCAGGCCCTACTTGCCTTTTTTTCCCTTTTTGGTTAAATGATTTATAAGCAGCTTTATGTTGCTAGTTTTATGGATTTTTTTGTGACATTTCCTTGGGCATTTAGAGATTCTTTGGGATATTACCAAAGCAAAAAAGATAATAAACTGTAAAAGATTTCATAGGAGTTCCAAGGAACCCTGTGATAGTGATGAGCTTTGACCCAGTATATTCCTAAAAATAGAGATGTGCCAGCCTGAATGGGCATTTTTGCCTCTTCTCGTTGCCAGCTAGTGATGCTTATCCTGATTAATCTTTGGCATCACAGTGGCTGGAATTCAGCTTCAGGGAATAAGTACAGAGTAGTTCACTGCACTTATTCACTCAAAAAGAACATAGCACAGCAAATATACTTTTGCAGAAAAATAAGAAAAAAATTAGCAATATGATTAGTCCTGAGTTTGTATTGATTTCTCTGTTAACTAGAAAGTGATATTCCAAATGGACAACTCTTTTCAATTGTTATTTTCTGTCTAACTCTTCCACAGCAGCAATAAAATACTTCTGTAGAGCATATATGCTATTGATTCATGTGCCTGTGGTTTTATGTACTTTTAATATGTTAATGGTTAATTTGAAATAAGTATCTTAAAGATAAGAATTGTTAAAGTTTATTTCTAACGTAATATCATATACATATTGAGGCTTAATCCATGTCTCAGGGTAGTATATGTTTAGTTTCATGTGTCACAAATGACAATCTCAAATATAACAGCAAAATCAAATGGAAATATTCCAAGGAAGAAACTCATTTTTGGAGTCCACTATATACTTATTCATTTTCAAATCAGTTGTAAAAGTACTAATGAGATTGTTTCTTTCTCATGACTGTTGTACTAAATTCTTCCTTAGAGTTAGGCTTTGCCTTAGTTTTGAAGACAGCTATTTGACCCAGTTTAAGTTGTACAAAAAAATTACTTTAGCCATCAGTGTTGCTGTCTAACATAAAGTACAGTAAAGTTGATCTAATAATTTAAGCCCAATGACCAGGAGTATCTACAACTAAATTAATGAGTATTCTCTGTTTGCTTATTTGTGAAAAAATATAGAATTATTTCATAATTACTTGGAGGTAATGAAATAGTGCTTATAAATTGTTTTGAATTAAAATTTGTACCGGCCATATCTAAAAATAAAAATCTCTGGGGTCACACAGTTGTTACTGTATTCCACAAACAGATGAAATCGAGATCTTTGAATCAATATTTACTAATATTTTTTGTAACTTTATAATTTGTTGACATTGCTAAAGAATGCTATGTGAGTTGTACCATGACAAATATATGAGTGCATGATTAATAAATATTGATCTTCATAAGTAACATATTCATTTGTTTTTTAGGTATTCCAACTTTATTATATGGACTTGGCTCCTGGTTATTTGCTAGAGTCACAGAGACTGTGCATACCAGTTATGGACCAATAACAGTTTATTTTCTAAATAAAGAAGATGAAGGTGCCATGTATTGAAAGTGTGCATTGGAGAGCATAAATATTAGTGGATTTTCTCTAGTGTGTATGTGCAATATTTATTTTTGATCCTTTAAAATAAAACTTCTGCAAACACCTTGTTCTTTTTATGATGTCTGATACTTTAGGATGAATCATTGCCCTCAAGAGGCAAAGCTTTTCATACATCGTTATAGATTACATACTCTCTTTAGCCAATGGGAACTCGAAACACATGAAACTTATACCAATTTTTCCCTAGAAGTAGATTACAGATAAAAAATGATTATAATATATATTTAGATCCTACAGTTAGGTATTAACAAATTCTCTTTAAAGAGAAAATATAGAAACCCACACTAAGAAGAAAGGGGAAAAATCTTTTATATAACACTGGAAAATATAGAGGATTTTAGGATATATGGTAGAGAGAATATATATCATTGACAGATCCAAAACTGATGAGAATTCTAACTGCAATCTAAAATCTAAACCATTCAGTTGCTAAGATTTTAAATGGAAATGTGTTAAAGCCCTTGTGCCATTTACCTGGACGACAGGTCTGGGTATAATGTTGAAACTTCTTATTGCATAAAGAATCCAATACCAACTACTTTTTAAAGTATAATAATAACTGGTTAATGTAAATGCAACAAGATGAATGAAATTAAGACATTAAAAGTTAAAATAGCATGCTGACAAAGCTGTAAGAATAAGATCTAGAAAGACCCAGAAAAATAAATTTGATAACTATTTATAAAAGCAATTAGCCGAAATGGTACATATCCATAGACTTATTGGCAATGCGAAGTGGGCTGAAATTTTAAAGACCTGATGGCAGTTTTGCATTAGAATTTTATTAAGTTAATTGCATTTTTGAAAGCAAAGTCATTAAAAAAAATTTATCCTTGGGGGTAGCTACAAAATACCCAGACGAATGGTAAATTTCAGAAATTTGGAGTAATTTAGGGAGAACTAAGTAGAACTATTTAATTTCTAAACCAATGAGTGTTTAAGATTTATGATCTCCCATAATTACAAACATACATTATATATCATTTTATGTTAATGTGGTGTTGATACTCTATAACATTCACACATTTTTGTAGCAAAATATAAAATTCAATCTAACCAACATTTGGGTGCTTGCTTCTGCCAAATCAGTAGAGAATGAGTGGAAATGATTGAGGTGAAAGCACAGAATCATGAAGCAATACAAACTGGCTTTGTTAAAGGTAGTCATTTTAAATAAGCTACAGAGAGTGAACTGTTCTTCAAATATATGTAGTGCTCACTTGTCTAAAACCAATTCTAAGTAACACTTTAATCAAAGAAGTACTTATGCCAATATATTTAGTCCAGAAGAATATACTTGACACTAGTTAAATGAATGGCTTACACAAAGGAGACAGTGTTACATTAAGCTTCATTAATAATAAAACTGACTATTAGCATTTTGCAAAGAAGGCTAGAACTGATTTTCTCTGTAATGGACAAAGTTAAATAACTATAGCTCATAAGTTTTAAGTCAAATACTGCTCATTCATTGCTGGTCTTGTCAATACTTGTTGTAAAGGTTTGGTCTCAACACAAGGCTGATAAAATGGTTTTTAATTACCAGACTATAAATAACAGCTTTTCAGTAGAGTTGCACTTCTTTTCACACTGGCCCATTTGATTTCTGATAATTTGTACTGCTGACTCTGCTTACTTGTTTTTCAATAGCTATCGTCAGTGTGACTTCATGTCCATATAGTGATAGGTAAGTCTCCTTGGAGAACATCTTTGACAAACTACCCTATTGATCTCTGTAATTCTCTGCTGCTTGCAGCATTAAATAGAACCTTGATTCCTTGTCTGATGTGCTGTGTAACAATTAAGCAAATGTAATATTTTCTTGTATTACATGAAAATCAATAGACCTCTTGCTCTCGTGGAGTTGATCATGGTGAAGGATGAACTCAGTGATGGCTAAGGGCATGGTTCAAATATTAAAATATCATTCATTGGATTTATTAAGTCTTGTGAACCTTTTAGTCTGAAAAAATGTTCATCGTTGAATAGTAATGGTTTAATTTTTTTTTTAATTGGACAGTACATCGAAGCATTGTGGCCTAAAAGAGATAAGAGTATGAATGCTGGAACTCAAGAGATTGATTCCATTTTTAGTATCAGAGCTGTCTTACTTTTTGACCTCAGGCTAATAACTCTTCTCCTTTGTGTCTTATTTTTCCACCTGTAATCTGAGAAGGACAAAATAAGAAATCTTTCTACCTTAAAATGTATCATGAATATGCTTATAAGCAAATGTCAGTTTTATTTTAGAAAAGCCGTTTTTGTAATCCTCATCCTTTTGTTCCATATATATTTATATTTAAAAGACTTCATTAATAAAAATTTTAAAAACAATGTGAGAAGAAGAAAGGACACATTGAAGGCATCTTGTGAGTGTGTCTGTGCACATGCTGGTTATGCCTGAGATGGCAAGCGGGGTTCCAAGAGGACCCTACCCATCTGAATATCAAGAATTTTTTAATGAAACAACCAAAAACAGCTTTTCTGCCTATACTACTTTAATAAAATTTTGTCTTTAAAATAATCCAGGCAAAACTATTTTTTAATGAAGGTGCGGTTTTAGTATAAAATCTTGCATCTCTTCTATTGTTATTTCTATACAAATCAATTATCCAGTATTAGAAGAAATTTCTAGTCAAAATTCTTAGTTCCTGTATACGTTGTGTTGTGAACCACCATAAGGATGCAGTAACGCAGATGGGAGCATGAAGTTGCTAATATAAAAATCCATAGTTTCTCAGTGCTAATGTCTTAACATACCAAATTATATATAGTCATAATTTTTTTATCACACATTTAGTCACTAATATTTTGTTAATTATTGACTTTGGTAAAATTGAAGCATTTTAATTCTTAAAAACCATATGTATTTCTTTTTAAATATACATTGTGTGTCATTTATATTCACTCAAAACTATAATCACAGAACATCTGTATTTCATAAAATAACTCTTAAAGAATGAATGATGTTTGAATGAGCAGGGTGACATAAAGACAAGGATCTTGGTTTCATTTCATTTAACAGCTAATGCAGATAACAGAAACCTTATCCTAAAGCTACTAGATCAGGTATCTACTTTTTTTCAGGCCTTACCATTCAGACAGTAATGACGTTTGGGGCATCTTAACCTAAACAAGTACTTTGCATTACATCTCACCTGGGTCAACAGTCTAGGGTATCAGAGTTAAACTGTGTTACTGTAAATTAATGGAAAATGTAACTGCACTTTGCTGAAAGATCAATGTCCAATAAAGGCTGCACAATCAAATCTTGTTGCAATGATTGAGGTCTTTAATTGCCTTTCAAAGATAAGGTGGTAATCAACATAGCTTTAACTGATCTTTTGTACTAGTTCAATTACATGCTAATGACTAGTGCCAAGTCAGAATCTTTAACTACTTACACTTATTAAATCTTATGTTAGTAATGAAAAATTACTTTAGCTACACAATCAATAGAACACAAATCTTAATTACTATATTTCACTTTTTACCACTTTATGTGCTTTACAAATGTTTTGCAAGAGCTTTCTCAACAGCAAAAAGTGTTATTGGTGGTTACCACAGTCCACAGAGTATTTTTCAAATATAAAGTGGGAATCAGAAGTTGAGAAAATTTTTTTCTTTATATGAAACTGACTAAAATAGTTTCCACTGACACAAGCTTGGCCCTCCAGCTACTTCTCAGAACTCTGTTCTGCTAATTGAGAGTACACTTAATACAATTGGGATAAATTAAACCTAAATTGATTTTAGTATATTTCTAAAAGTTCACTTAGCTTTCCAGTAAAGATTTCATCTAGAGCCTACTATAAAATTCTCCTTTTTTGGGAAAGCATGAATGTTCATAAAGGCAAATGATATAAGAATAAATAGATTAATTGGACTTCATCAAAATTAAAAACTTTTACAGTTCAAAGACACTATCAAGAAAATGAAAAAACTGACAGAATGGGAAAAATATTTGCAAACTATTTACTGTTAGGGAAATACAAATCAAAACAACAATGGGATACAATTTCAAAACCACCAGGATTGCTATCAAAAAGACAGATAATAAGTATTGATAAGGATGTGGAGAAACTAGAATCCTTATACATTGCTAGTAGGAATGTAAAATGGAGCCGCCACTTTGCAAAAATTTGGCAGTTAAGTATTAAACATGGAGTAATCATATGACCTAGCAATTCTATTCCTAGATGTATAGAGAATTGAAAACATGTTCACACAAAAACTTGTACACAAATGTCCACAGCAGATTATTTGTTTTAGCCCCAAAGTGGAAACCACTCAAATATCCATCGATTGATGAATGGATAAATAAAATATGGCATGTTCACACAATGGAATATTATTCTGCCAAAAAAAAAAAATAAAAGGAATGAAGTACTGATGCATGCTATAGCATTGATGAAGCTTGAAAACAGGCTAAGTGAAAGAAGCCAGGCATAAGAAAACCACATATTGTATGATTCCACTTATGAAATGTCCAGAATAGGCAAATCTATAGAGTGGTGGATTGGTGATTGCCTAGGGCTGGAGAGGCTGGGAGGAAATGGGGAGTAACTGTTAATGGGCATGGGATTTCTTTTTGGAGTGATGAAACTGTTCTAAAATTGACTGCAGTGATGGTTGCACAACTCTGACCACACTCAAATCACTGAATCGTACACTTTGAATGGAAGTACTGTATGGCATGTTAATTATCTCTCAATAAAGCAGTTAAAAATTAGTAAGTAGGGAGGGGAAGTGGGCAGTTGCTGTTTAATGGGTATAGTTTCAGTTTTGCAAGATGAAAATTCTGGAGATGGATGGCATTGATGGTTGCAGTGATGTGAATGTACGTAATAGCACTGAATGGTGCACTTTAAAATGGTTCACATCATCAATTTTATGTTCTGTATATCTTACCATAAATAAAAAATTTTTAAAGTGAGTAAAGGATTCAATAGTACTATGATAAAATTAACTTCATGATTTCTATAAAAAATAACTGAGTTTGGAAAAATGGTAGAAATTGAAAGAAGTAAAACATTAACATTTTATATGTTCCAGTATTGGAATTAAAAAAATTTTAGTTATGAAACCTAGTTTTAATTAAGTAGAAGAAATCTCATTTGGAATTATTTTTAATAGCATTAAGAAAAGAATCTATTTTGGTGTGAGATTACTTAAGATAAAACCAAAGAAATGCATATAAAATGTTAGTAAATGAAAATACCCATTTTTAGATCCTAGTTGCTGGATAAAGAATATCAGCTACTACCAGAATGAGGTTTTATATAGAATTGCTCATAACTATTTTAGTTGCATTTATATCATTTTAAATACAGTTTATGAAGATTGTACTACTCCATTATATTATTAATTTATCTTCAGTGATATTTATAGTATCAATTTAAAAGCTGTAAAACTTCATGAAAAGTAGCTTCAACACAAGGATTTTGATAAACAAAGGCTTTCAGTTTTTAAAAGCAAATCATGGAACTGTACTTCTTAAAGATTTGAAGTTTTTTGTTGTTGATGATAGGATTATGAACCTTATAAACTCAGTATTTTTTAGTTAACCTAAATACATAAATCTATTTGAATTCGTCTTATGAAAAGAGATATGTCATTAGATATATGATCATTATGTGCTTTAGTGATTCATGGACCTTGTTACATACATGCTTTGTAATGTATGAATTATTTAGTAAGAAAAATCACAATAATTTTGTTGTTACTCAAAAATTTATGGGTTGGCAGAAACAATTATGCAGCCCCTGAAGCTGATGTGTTAAGGTAACATCATTAATGCTACATAGTATGATTTTTTTAGTAGTTATTTGACATAACCTTTACTGCTTCTGCTAGAATATATCAGTAATTTTATAACAATTTGTCTGTAAACAGAACATTGAATTCATTAAACACAAAGTGATTCATTTAACTCTATTTTCTTTTAAGTGCATAATTTAAAGTCGTACCTAAAAAGTTGTTTACCTAAACCCTAAAGGAATAAAAATATAAAAATTAATACTCTAATAGATATAAATTTAAAACTTTATTTAATGAAAGTAGATATTTTTATTTTAAAAAGAAAATGTTTAATAATCGGATGAAAATAATTCATGATAGGAGATTATCCTGTAACCCTTCTTTGTACATGATATTAAGGCCTTTACTGTTGGATGAAGACAAAATTTTAGTTTCTTATGCTTTCAAATCTCCAAATTTCATAAAATGAAAGAACCAAGAATTTGAAAGTTAGAATAAAAATCTAAATAGTGTCACTTAATTTTAGATTACATTTTAAAATTAACATTCATTCATTCATTCATTCATTCATCCTACAAATAGTTTTGCACTGACCATGTCAAAGGCAAATTTTAGTAATTTTACCTGTCAACAAAATCTAGCAGTTCTGAACCTACGTATAAGGGTCCATTCAAGCTATAATAAAAACGATTGCTTTTGTACACAGCTAGATGAGAACCATGAGTTACTAATTTTTCTTTCCAGTACTTGTCATATAATGAAGGCTCTATGTTAAATGAATTTGTGATGATTCAACAGTTAAAAGAAAATTTGCCTTCATCTTTAGGAGATTTAAGAAAGGGATACTTTAATTGGAGATCATATGGATTCCTTACAAGAACAGCAACAAGTTTTGAAATACTATCTCAGATGTAATGAAGTGATTTACACTGTTCTACGTATTCTAAAAAATAAAAGATTGGAAACTTGTTGCATTTCAAAAGGTGCCATCTCCTTTCTCAAATGGGAATTTTGCTTTCTAAAGTCAAACAGAATGATGCATAGAAGTAAATGAAGTGAAACATTAAACAGAAAGTACTAGGATTAGTTAGATTATTCTTTTTAAGCAAAACTAGAAACAATGCATTAGTAACTAGGAGACAAGAATGTTTTAACTGAGTTGGCAAAAAAAAATAG